TGTGGTAGTAGAAACCAATTGATGCATCAACTGCCAACGTCAATGCCCATGTGACTGGGGACTCAGCTGAGACTGATGTGAGAGAAGGCATTCAGCAGTGGCACTATAACCTCCCACAACTCAGCTGAGTCACTATCAGAGAACATATTGTCAATCATGATAAGGGCCAGCACATAGTCCAAAAACACGTGAACCGGGTACCTCTTAGCTATATCCTGAGCATATCAGAGGGCACATGCAACTGCAAACAGCTTACATTCAACAATGCTCCACAATGGGAGAACTGAGCACCTATTAATATAGGTCAAGACCCCTTTTTCAAACACCGCCCATACTACACTGGTTCTTTCAGAGGACTTAGACCTGTCCGTGTATATAACCACATCCGAAGATGTACAGAGCTCCATGTACAGTGAACGGTGGTATGTAGCTATCAACACCTTGCCTTTCCGAATTGAAACCATAGGGCCGTGGGTGAGCTCCTTATCTGAGGTCTGCTAATATGCCACCATGCCTTCCTCTTTGCATTGCAGCAGTATATCACCGAACCAAGCATGTTGGTTACAGTATCGGTAATTGATGAACCAGCTATAACATTTCTATTGTAGGTATCTGCCCTGAATAGTGACAGGTAGCGTCCTGAACTCAGCCAACAGTATGTTGGTAGCTAGCTTCATAGGTGTCTGAAATACTGAACGAAGGTAGTTATTAATGTGGATCTGAATTTGCTTCACATACGATGCATGGTTGGTTATAAATTCAAGCCCATAGTAGATGGTCGGAAGGTAGGCTGCCTGCACTAAACAGTAAGTCTTCCATACTCCCAATCCTCCAACATTTCTAAATCTCCTCCCCAACGCCAAAATCCTTCTCCTAACACCTAAACTCCTTTTCAACCAATACTTTACATGAGAAGAAAAGTTAAGAAATACAGTAAACCTATATCCAAGAACCCCCAAATTCTCAGAAGGTGAAACTATTTCTCCTAGCAACTCTATCCCTTCCCATCCCTTATCCCCAAACCCAATCCACTAGGTCTTGAGGGCACTAAACCCCATTTCCCTAGCCCTAGCTATGTGATCACAGTCTGTGAATATCTCTCCTGCATGGTATTGGGCAGCATTACAAGATTCTGCTACTACTATGATGACCCCATTATCAACATATGAAACCACCAACTGATGTACACTAGGAGAATATCACATTTGTGGTGTGAATATATCTGCCATGTAACCACCAAAGAAGAAAAAGGAGAAAGGGGCGAGCACTAAGATACATACTTAATAACATGGTAAGCCTGGGAGACTCATCCGTTGAAGGGAAAAAGTACCGATCGACAAGAAGTCCATCTTCAGATCAACTGGGACAGGTTCGAGAGACACCACAAGGCTACCAGAAAGTCTGACAGGAGGTCAATATCAATATTACTGAATCCTTCTTCGACATCTATTGACAGGATTAGTCGCTTGTAACCCTTGTTATGCTGTAAGAATTCAAAGACTACTGCCATGGCATTATGAACTCCTCACTTCCGGTGAGACCCGAACTTTGCTTCTCCCAAATCAAGGCAAGCAGCCAACCTTAACAGGACTACGCATTCGGTGACCTTTGCCTGCATTGAGAAGAGATGTATCATCCTCCAAGAGTTAACGACGTCTTATCTGGATTTATCTAGCTTAAGTATAAGTACCACCTCAGTCCTATGCCGGTCTGGAATATTGTGCCGTAGTCC